TTTCTTTATAGAGGTGGCTAAGCTGGAGTAGGTGTACCCGACATACCCCTAAGTCTCCTCTCGGGCCCCAAACCCGACAGTAGGCCCACTTACAGTAACAACTGCTTTTGCTGTCGAAGCATCTTGTTTACTTTCGGTATCAACATCCCACGCCACCCTCAACGCTTGGACTTGACGTGGCTGGTGGTTCATGTTTATGATGCCTTCTATTACTCTTTCTGTTGTGCTAAAACGCAAACCAGAGTACTGGTGTGGCACTTACAGTTGTAAGGTTGGCAGTTCAAACCCACTGGCCACTCCTTGGAAACCCTGTGCAGGGTTGTTACATGTAGCAACAGACTCCACAGCAGTAAATAACAATTCGCAAACCAACCAAACCCATTGCTGCCCAGATGATTCAAACTCAGTAATCCTATAAAACAGAGCAAAACTGCCCCATAGAGTTTAGCAAACTGTAATCTTGAGGAATTAATCTTTAGGGCAGTTCAAACCCACCAGCTACTCCTCGGAAATTCTATACAGAGTCGCTCTGGGTCGGAATCAACTCAAAGGCACTTAAATAATCTGTTGTTGTTGTTAAGTGCCGTCGAGTCGATTCCGACCCAGAGCAACCCTGTATAGGGTTTCCAAGGAGCAGCTGGTGAGCTTGAACCGCTGACCTTGCAGTTCAAACGGCTTTGCAGGCTGGTGCATTAACCCACAGCGCCACACCAGGGCTCCAACAATCTTAGGGAAGCCGATTTCTACATCATTTCCTTAGAGCGTCAGCATTTTAGGTTTGCAGGCAAGTATTTTGACCACCACTGTGCTACCAGAGCTCCTTTGTAGTCATATCCTAACCTATCCCTTATTGCAAAAAACCGCAACTTGGATAGAGAATTATTTGGAGGCTTCATGATGTGTGTGTGTGTGTGTGTGTGTGTGTGTGTGTGTGTGTGTGTGTAAGAGAGAAAGGTGACAGATACGCTTGAACTCCCTGCCATTGAATCCACTCCTGTTACTCAGAGCCTTCCTGTGTAGGGTTCTCAGGCTGTAAATCTTTACTGGAATAGAAAGCCACATCTTTCTTCAATGGAGCTGCTGTTGAGTTTGAACAGCTGAACTTATGATAAACCGTCTACTGTTTATCCTACAGTGCTGCAAGGGCCTCTTGACACAGCATTACTACTAGCAATAACAGCTGTTGTTAAGTGCTATGAAGTGAGTTCCTACTCAGCGACCCATATATAGGGTTTGTTGTTGTGAAGTGCCGGCAAGGCTGTAAATCTTTTCTGGAGCAGAAAACCTCATCTTCTCCCATGTAGCAGCTGATGAGCTTGAACCGTCGACCTGTGGCTCAAAGTACAATGCTTATCCTACAGAGTCACTGTGCTCCTAGTAATAATATTTGGCACTTAATGCCCCAGCACAATATTTTTTGGCAGATTGTTAAACTGTACTTCATATATTGGAACTATGAAAAGACAAAAGAAAGTAGTTGTTTATTTGGATGATACTTTAGGGCACATTTAATCATTCTGGTAGATCCCTTTTTCATTTAAGGACACTGTGGGCTAGGTGTTGGACTGCTAACCAAAAGGTCTGCCATTCAAGCCCACCAGTGACTCAGCAGAAGAAAGATGAGCCTTTCTGTTCCCATAAAGGCTTCCAGTCTGGGAAACCCCTCATATGGTCGGTATCTATGAGCCAGGATTGACTGGATGGTAGTGATTTTGGTTTTGGTTTTCATCATTTTATACTTTACAGAAAATAATCAGTTTGAGATTTCTGTAACTAATTGGATTAGTTGTGATGCCATTGAGTAGTTGATAGCATTGTGTTAATACTGGGGGAAAATAATCCATTGGACAACACCATTCTGTTCATTACATTATTGTTGAATTTTTTTTTTTAAGTACTAAAAGCATGAAGGTGTAGGGTTAAATTTTTTGAAAGGAGTCTTTGTTGGTTTCAGATTTGATGTATGAGGAAGAACTTACAAAACAAGGGCAAGCTTATTTTTATTTGGAGCCTAGGTTGTGTTAGATTTATTTCCAGAGAGGTGGGTAAAAAAGGATTCCAAGACATTGAGAAAATGGAGGCAAATAAATTTGGTAGTTCTGGATATACTTCACTCAACAAATAATATGAGTACTTTCCATGTATCAGTCACTCTGTCTCTCAAGTGAAAAATAATACCTTATTCAGAATGACTTGATAGTCATTCATTCATTCAGTAATATTTTTATGCTATACTCTAGCACAAAATTTGTTTTGGTGAAAATATATAGGATTTTCTCTTCTGAGAAATTAGTTATAATAATCTCTTTAAGACAGTTTCATGATATAGACTCTAAGGTAGGTTTTGTAAAAGTTTAATGTAGATAGAAACTAGCAGTAGTATCTTTTTGATATATAATCCACTACAAGTTAAATTTAAAATATATTTCATCAAAATGATGTCTTTCAAAGTGTTTGATTCTTGTAGTTAACAATAATAACAACAAAAAAAGACATGTTTTAAAGGGATACCAGTTCCTCTCTTAAGACAGCTCTAAAAACAATAGATGGATTGACAGCACAATGAACTCAAAACGTAATTGTGAGGATGGTGCAGGACAGGGCAGTATTTCATTCTGTTGTGCATAGGGCTGCTATGAGTCAGAACCAACTCAATTGGCACCAAGCAATAACAAGAGATAATAAGGCCTTAGAAGGAGGCCACAGTGGTTCAAAAGCCAGTACTAGATGAAATAAATTGGAGGAAAGAATAGATTCTAGGAAGATGGTGACAGCAGCATAGTTTTTCAGTCTCAGAATCCTCACAAAGTACAAATAGCAAAATTTAAAATCTATAGAATATTTACATCAAAGTCTGGTGTCCCTCTAAACTCCAGAATATAAATGCATAGAGACAAGCTACTAGCATCTGTAGATCTGAACTGTCTTGGCATCTCTGTGAGAAGAAGAGGGATGAAACAATAGGGAAACATCTGATAGATCAGAGAACAGAACTCCAAAATAGCTGTTAGCCAATTTGATAGCAGCAGTTGAGAAGAGTTTTATCCTTCACAAAACTGGTTGAATAAATAACCCACTGTTAAAAAGACTTAAGGGGCTGAAGCATTCTAAACCAAAAAAGTAGCCATTAAGTCAATTACAACTCTTAGTGACCCTATAGAACAGAGTAGAACTGCCCCATTGGGTTTCCAAGGTTGTAATCTGGAGTGCTGCAGGATAATGCTCTGGACCACAAGATCAGTTTGAACCACAAGGTTGGTGGTTTAAACCCACCAGTCACTCCTCGGAAACCCTAAACAAGGTTGCTATGGGTTGGAACTGACTTGACAGCACTTACCAATAACAACAACAAATCTTTATGGAAACAAATTGCCACCTCTTTCTCCTGTGTAACACTGATGTGTTGCAACTGCTGTCCTTTCAGTCAAAAAAGTATTGCTACAAAATCATAGAAACCTTAAATCTCAAAACGTGAAGCTATTGTTTCTTGACATTCTCTATCTAGATCTATACCCTTCTGAAGGGAGTCCTGGTTTGGTGTTGTAGAATAATGCACTGGACTACAAGTCTATGCTCTTCGATTTACACCTCATCAAAACAGCAGTTTTGGTATTCTTGAGGGATTCAAGTCATGTTCCTTGTAAATTTTCTTGAAGTCTTGAAAACAACTAATTTTGAAGGGACAAGATCAGTGCTGTAGGGTGGGTAGGGAGGGTAAGTTATAACAACTAAATTTTTGTTGGTCAGCCCTTGAAGAATGAGCAGGTATATTGTGATAGAAAACAATTATTGGCACCACTATCCTGGCCTTTTTCTCACCAATGCAGTTTTCAATTTAAAAAAAAAACAAAAAAACTTCGTCATGTTGAGCCCTATGATTGTCCTATATCCTTTGAGAAATGTTATCAAGATTACCTGCTTTGACATCTCAAAAAACAGTCACCATAACCTTTTGTGTGTGTATGTGTGAATTAAGTGAAGATTACAGAGCAGATAGATCACCAGTTTTACGTTCAACAAATCATATACTTAATTTCATTTTAGTGATTGTAATCCCTTCATTATAACATTACCTATCCCACTTCCTTCCTGCAATTCTTGTCTCCTTTCTTCCTTTCCCAAACCTTCTGAATTTTGTCCTTATGAAAATGCTCCCCCTTTATTTTCAGTTGTTATCTCCCCTGTGTACTTAACCTATTGCCTAGTCAACGTAACCTTCTGAACTGACCTCTATGCCTTGAATTTATCTGGCCAGCAGATCCCTTAGGAAATCACTGTTTTGACTGGACTTTTGTTTCTAAAGGCATTTTCAGTAACCTCATATGCATGCAAAAGCTGGACAGTGAATAAGGAAGACCGTAGGAGAATTGATGCCTTTGAGTTATGGTGTTGGAAGAGAATATTGAAAGTTCCATGGTCTGCCAAAAGAACCAACAGATCTGTGTTGGAAGAAGTGCAGCTAGAGTGCTCCTTGG